ACAAGACCAAACCAACCAACATCATCTTATTGACAAGTGTCGTTGGTATTAAGGGGCGAAAGTGTGCCATGAAAATATCCCTCACCCCACTACAGCACCACCAACACCACCAGCCTAAATTCAATAAACTGTTGTTACAGGACAGGATGGATACACGCTTTCATGCTGTTTGCACTAACGTCTGACCCTGTAATGTGAATGTTAGAGATGTCAAATCAGGACTCATCAAATCAGGGACATTTTATCTAGTCTTCTGTTGTCCAATTTTAGCCTCAGTTCCTGTTGTTTGAGGACAGAAATGAAACCTGGTAGGATCGTCTGCTGCTTCAAGTTTTGGCATACAGTGAGTTTGGAGTTCCTCTTTCTCTATGACTCCAGTTTAGATCAACTTAAAGCAGTCACTCACTGGACAGTTCTCTTTTATGAACAATAGAGATATCTGTGTAAATCAGCAGTTTGTGAAATAGTCTGTTTAAAGTCACTTTAGTCACCTGCTCTGTTCAGCACAGCTATTGCTTGTGACAGCTGATGACTTCACTTCACACACTGTGTGGATCGATATTGAAATATCAATTCTTCCGATACCAGTAATTTATGTTCTAGAATCAATTCTCATATTAAAATATCGATATTTTAGTACTTTGGGATAAATTTGTAGTTTTTCATTAACAGGAACACATTGGAAAGAAACGATTCGGATCGTCTAAATTGGAAGGAACGACTTTCTCGTACGCCTTTCAGTCATATGCGAAATACGGCTGTATAAATGTGGCGCAGCCCATGGCGTGCACACTCAAAACAATGGCAGAGCGTGAACGGAGTAAATGGTAAATGGACTGGTTCTTATATAGCGCTTTTCTACTCTTCTGAGCACTCAAAGCGCTTTATACAACTTGTGCATTCACCCATTTACACCCATTCGCACAAGCACATTTTTCCTAGGTGCTTTCTAACTGACACTCACACACATTCATACTCCGATGGATGCATCGGAGAGCAATTTGGGGTTAGTATCTTGCCCAAGGATATTTGGCATGCAGAATCGAACCACCAACCTTCCGATCAGCAGATGACCTGCTCTACCACCTGAGCTACAGCCACCCCATATGTCCTGTGTGGACGTATTTTCTACGCGGTTTGTGATACATGTGGCAAGACGGTGAGGCATTGTGGCAACACCACTAACCTCCTCAAACACCTCAGAGTAAATCATATCACAGAATATGACGAGCGTATGTTGAGGCGAACTGAAGAGGAGAGGGACAGGTGCTGCTGGGGCGAGCAGGCAGGCAACGTGTCAAATAGTGCACAACTTTTTTTTGTTTCTATGATTATTCTGCATCATTAAGTAATAAGAACAAGTACTCTGTCCTGTAATTATTATGAAGCTATATTATTATTACAGTTACAATTACATAATGTAATTACATATTGTATTATGAAACACAATGAAACATTAAGTTTTTGTATCGGTATCGGATCAATATCGTTGATACCACCCTAAATTTTACTTGGTATCAGATAGGGGTGGGGGAAAAAATCGATACTGTGTAGTATCGTGATATTTTGTTTGA